TTTTGTCTCCAGGAACCAGTACTAGAGAGAGAGAGGATTTTAACAAACAAACCCAGACAGTAAAACAATGGTGGAGGAAGTAAAGGTCAAGTGGTGGAAGAGAAAGCCTGGGCATGCATAAATCCGTCACGAATCTGCTGAGCAACATCAGCGACAGCGCCAGGGCCATGAGGAATGAACACAGATGAAGACTTGGAAGAAGCTCCGATCTCTTTCATGGTGTCGAAGTACTGAGTCATCAGGACCATATCCAACACATCCCTCGCCGAAGTTCCCGGCACGTTTCCGGCGAACCCAAGAACGCTGTCCCTCAGACCGTCCACTATCGCCTGTCTCTGCCGAGCGATTCCCAGCCCGGACAAGTACTTCGACTCCGCCTCTCCCTCTGCCCTCTTTATCTGTATTATCTTCTCCGCCTCCGCCTTCTCGTTCGCCGCCAGTCTCAGCCTTGCCGCTGTACCAACAATGTTTTCACGTTTTCAGCCGTCAAAGATTCGATTTCTGTTCCGTTTTCAGCCAAGTTTTTAGTTTTTATTTTTACCGGCGTTGATCTCGTTCATGGCGCGTTTAACCTGTTGGTCTGGTTCGATGTCAGTGATGAGCGTCTGAAGGATCTGGTACCCGTAAGCAGTCATCGCCTGATATATATATATATATATATATATAAATTTTTTACTTTGAAAAATCAGCGTCGGAAAATTTTTATTCTTGATTTCTTGTTATATCATTCGGGTGGGGATGTATATGTATACCTTGTCGAGCTCTTCTTCAACGCTTCTGGCGATTTCGTTCTTCTGCTCAAACACATCGTCCAAGATCAACTTTGGAACACTTGCCCTGATTACTGAAAACCCCACGTGACAAAATTCTGTAATTTTGCAATCTTAGCTTTTTTATATTGGTAACGAGAATATATGTGTATATATATATAAATACCGTCAAAGACATAGGCTTTGATTTGGCCGGTTGGATTACTGAGCTTGTAAAAAGCATCGTTGGCCTTGTCGGGCAAGACTTTGTATTGTATTGACGCAACCACAGTCACGAACACGTTATCCTGAAAATGGTAGCAACCCAACAACACGAACCCATTCACTATTACTGTATGATCATAAATCAGACTACCTAATACATTTCTCTCTCTCTCTCTCTCTCTCTGTTTATACCTTAGTTTTGGTTTCGCATTGGACGTCAAGCTGCTGGAGCCGGAGAGAGAGATAGCCGGCGATGTAATCGCCGAAACACCACGGCACAAATTGGATCCCTGGATCAAGAACGTCGTTGTATTTTCCGAACCTCTCCTTTATCGCTACCTCGGATTGCTTGACCACCACGCAACATAGGAGATTCCCCATATCTTGGTTCAACCTTCAAGAATTTTGGGACAAGAAATAACCCAAAACCCGGTTTAACTCAATCGAGATCAAATCAATCGGTATGGTTCAACAAAAATACTCTAAAAAACCAGGGTAAGAATTGAATGAGAAAACAGAAAACGCAAAGCAAGAACAAGAAACGGAAAAACCAGACCGGTTAAGTCTCGTACCGTAAGTTGTGGAACAGGAGATGTAGGAGACTGAGCGAAGGAGACAAAGGGGACGATGATTTATATAGATGAGAAAAATATCACATGAATGAATACCTTTTTAACCCTTTATCCCAAAAAATAAAAATTAAAAATATCAAACATGCAAAGATGTAAGATTGCAAAACTTCCATATTTAAGTATTTTTTTTCCAGCGAGGAAAGGTTGCAACTTGCAAGTTGAGGGAATTGCTATGTAACCACCAGGAAATGTTCTCTGGTCAATCACATTTGGTTTGCGTATTAAATGACGATTGATTGGACTAAAATATATTCATTTTTATAATTGGTTGTTTTATATAATCTAATCGTTTGATAAACCGATTATTTCTACTATTTTTTCTCTAATTTTTGTCATTTAAAAATGGAAAAAAAATGATGGAATTTGAAGGAAAACAAAGAAAAAGAAGGCGTTGAAAATGATGTGGGAACCAAGATATTATATAACAAGAAAAAGTAAGTGGATCCTATGCCGCCGAATTCAATGCTAATAGCTATCATCAAGAAGATTTATTTGAACAGTTTTTTTTTTCATATATTTGTTCTCATCAGAAAAGTCAAGGGAACTGTATTCAATAATTTTTTTTGTTTACTAGCTTTGGAAAAAAATAGTTATTTATTTAACGGAAAAGATTTAAATTAATCAAAAACCTTTTTAAATAACTAATAAATTAATTGTACACTTGAGAATCTTATGGTGAAATAAGCGCCTGAAATAAAATTACCATAACATTCAATTTTATGGTAGTGTTTTGGATATAAAAGCATAAAATTACAAGATGAAATATGAAAGGAATAACGGTCAACGACTTTTTTTTTTTTTTTTGGGGGGGGGGGAAAATCTGGACAGGACAGGAAATTGGATGAGAGGTGAGTTTTAAGTCGTTGAATGATACAAGTCGCTCAAGATAAGAATACTATGACATCCAATCATGTACACATCACTTAATTTAACACGAAAATCTCAACCACTATCAAAGAAGGACGAGATTATTCTCGGGATCTTTGATGACCATTATTATAATTACTATTTTATAATTCAATCATACATACCTTTTTTTCCTTGTAGAGAGGAACTTTCGTCCCTCCATGTACCAGTCTAGACTTAGATTCATAATTTGTAATAAAAATACTGGTTTTACGTACCCAGGAAGCGAGGACAACCATAATGACTGGAATGCCCCTAGCCAACAGAAATGAATATGGAACCTCGAGCTTCTTTCCCTGGAGTTTAAATATTCATCTCTCTTTCCTTTTTCCCCCTTTTCTTTACAAATTTTACAAATTTCCAGAAAGAAGACCTGAAAGGCTGAAACCTCAGAGCAATAGAAGAACGGTTCAATTCCACAGACAACCCGAAAATTTCTTTCTTTCTTTTTTTTTTAATTAGATGAATCGGTTAGAAATATTAACAAATGGAAAATATGTCAAAGAACGATTTCAATATTTCAAAACGAATCCACATTCTGTGAGAAGCAGTGACACCATAAACCGACAACGAATTTCTTTGACGAGTTCCCACCGAATCAACCAACAGACCGTAAATCCACCCCCCGCACGCAAAACATTAACACCTAAAACCCAAAGCCTAAGTTCTTGAAATAAACTTGAAAAACAAAAGATAGAAGGCAAAGAAGATTTACCAAATTACCAGAGAGGCAGAGACATTAAATCAGGACTTAACATTATTAGAAGAAGAGGAGGAGGAGGAGGACTTGTGGAAAGGCCAGAGGTTCACGAGGCGCTCGAGGACCGAGGCGCTTTTGGAGAAGTAACCGGAGAAACCAGCCGGAGTTGAAGCGGGCGGGAAGTCCTCAGCCGGCATTGCAAACAGACGTATCATCATCTCCATCTTCTCCAGCGTCAGACACGATCCCACCTCCTGTAGCCTCTCCGGCCCATTTATTGGCAGCGTGTGCTCCCTCCTCAACCACTCTGCCTCCCCATCCTTCTTCTGTTTCATCCACTTTCATTTATTAATACATATTCTTATTTCAATTTTGTTTTTTAACAAAAAGTTTTTTTTCAAATTTTTTACCTCCAAGGGAGACAAATCAGCGCCTCTGCTAAATGTTAGTTCAATGCGGAATCTCTTTGGGTCATCCAGAGGCACTTCCGTGTTCTCGAACATCCTTAGGACAATGTAACTCATGTAATCGAGCTCCTTCGTTCTGTACAGTCGCTCCAATGCGTTCTGGCATACGAGGCTTTCTTCTCCTTGGAGCGATTCGTCCAGGTTACAGTACCGGATAACGTTCATGAGCGAATGAATATGCGATTCCTTTTCCATTTTTTTGCAACCAGAAATTAAAAAAAAGTCATTCACATATGCATATATTACGGATGTGAAGAGATGAGACAAGCGATGAAGGGGAATATAAAAAGGATACTTACAGATGTGAAGTAAAGACGTGTCCTCACATGGCGTTCGGGTGTCTTGACATTGGCGTACCTAAAGGGGCAAGCAGAAGGAAGAAAGGTGAATGAGATTTTCAAAATGCATAACATGAAAATATCTACTAGAAGTAAGAAATTTGTTTTGTTGTTACTTTGGATCTAATCGGTATTTGGTCTCTTTATCGTCATCTTCATCTTGGTCACTCGTGCCAGGCCGTCTCAAGTCATTGCTACTGATGAAAAGCTTTGGCTGACTGTTTTCTCTTGCCTCCTCCTTTCTGGTGGTCAATGACACTGAGATTTCATCTTGGCTGCTCTTCAATTCAGCAACGCTCATTGCCTCTTCCCTTGTATTCCTCAAGTCGATCAAGATTTTCCCCAGTAAACGCCGAGCAATCTTAATTTTTTTATAAAAAAATCAAAGCAAAAAAAGTTAAGGGGTGAAACCAATTGAAAAAGGGGAACCCTCGGGTATATTGCAGAAGAGAATATGCATATATACTATTCATGAATTTCACGCAAAGAATCCACCTTTGAACCGATTTTCAGCTTTTGTTGTGGATTGATCCCATACTCGTTTGGAATTACACCATCTGCAAGCAACTGCAATCACATAACGCACACATGAACTGTTATAACCAACACTGTATGATCGACTTACAAAAAAAAAAGAGAAAGAAAGATGTATCACTCTATATTTATCTATACTTGAGAATCTAGATGATCAAGTTCCAAAGTTCTAGGCATAGTTTCAATCATGAAAACTATAAAGAGTCACATGCTCAGCACTAAAAACGACTCCGCAGACAACTGGGAGTGTTCACCATTGAGCAGTAGTTTCAAACTCACAAGAGAGCTAAAGATGAAAATCTGTTTTCTGCGTACCTGCGCAACGTTGAAGAGTTCATATAGTCCTTTTAGGTCGAGATGAGAATTATGCAACAGGTCATACCTGGTGACAACAGCATATTGGAAGAATATTGAGACAGAATAGATTAAAGCCATGACAAAACAGTGGATGATAAAAAGGAATATCTCCCTGAAACATGCATTACTTACTTGCATGAATCGTAAACATCTGGAATCTGTGTTATGTCGAATCGGCTGCATTAGATCAATTTATCAGCACCTATGAGAAATCTGGGGTACTACCAGAAACTTCATACAGAAAAATAGGATGAAAATTTGAAAGACATAGACAAGTTTGATACAGCCATATTATACTTACTTTTTTCTTTCATTATAGAGGTCCCTCTCGAGCTTTCTCCAGCGAGCAAACATCAGAAGGAAACCTTCACTACCACAAGGTAATCCAGCAGCAATTCGGTCAACATCAATGTTTGTCTTTCCAAGGGCCTTTGCTTGATCATACGGAGGGACTACATCATAGGCGCTAGGCTCAGTAAGATTCTCATCTTCATCTTTTGCAAGTAACATTACTTGTTCAGTCACCTTCTTTGCTAGCTTTACCTGCTTATTAAGAAAGCATGCATCAGATGAAGAATCTTATTAGAACCAACAACGTTCTTTTGTCTCCAGGAACCAGTACTACATTGCCAGGTAGAACAAGCAACCAAACGTTCCTCTTAAGAACATATTAGGTAGCAAAATGAAACTGAGAAATGAGTGTCACAAAAGCTATTCATGTGCCCACTAAACTATATAAATATTATTTGCTTACGAAGATGAAATGTTGCCCGACCAAGGATGACGGAGAGAAAAAATCCATCTAATTTCATGAAGAAACTAAAAATATATGTTGATTCTATAATTCCTATTTGACGAAGGCTTGTAACCCGATTAGACTCAAAACACAGAACAAGTAGAAAGGCTCTTCATCTCTGTTTCAGACTTCTGCTAAACTAATAGTTAAAAAGATGATTACCAATTCAGGTAGAAGCTCGTGAGCATTAGGAGGAAGTCCAGCTCCATCAGTCATCCAGGGGAATTCAGAAGAGATAGTATCGTGTATCAACTTTGTGCCAGAAGTTATGATCTCATTCAACCTAGCCTGCAAATCAAGTTGAGAAAAAGAAAAAAATTATAAAGCTGTAAATCCAACTATCTAAGCGCGCCAGGACAAAACCATATCCACGGATAATCATTTGTGCGAAATGTTTTTGAAAGAGTTTGTTGAGAAATTCAAAAAGCACAGAATTTTTAAGAAAAAAAAAATCCATCATAGAAAATTTTATATGCAAAAACATTTAAAACGTTCTAAGGTCAATGTTGAGCATTTCCCGATGGCTCAAACAAGTTAGCAATACATGCAACTAAACGAGTAGCCAAAACATGCTATTAGACCAAAATAATTCGTCAAAAGGAGGACAAACCTTGGCCTCTTCCATTTCCCTGCTGGCATTATCGAGGCCATCCAACATGGAAGAATCCTTACTAACCAGAGAAACCTAGAGAAAGATTATTAAGCGATTAATGATCATATGGCATGGTTAAGCAATACAAGACCTCGGTAAAAAAAGGCAAACCAGGATTGGTGTCAACTGTCCTTCTAGGTCAAGAAGGCCTTTAGCAAAAGCAGCTGCAGACATCTGTCAACAATGCCAAACGGTTTCATATCTTTTTTTTTTTTTTTTTGTCTCGGAAGCTCTATTACATGTTTTGGATAAGTAGTGAATATTGAAGCAAAAGTCTATATTACTTTTCCATCTTCAGGATTGAAAGTTGTACCTGAACACGTCCCTCATCAGAGCTGTAAATTTTAAGGTCGTGACGGTACGTACTGTGGAGACGAAGCAAGCCAGTGCCTTCACCTGCAATGCAGGAATATATTGTTCCTTCATAAACCACTCGAGCAGACATTGATCGTCACAACTCACTAGACAGCTCCAGATAGTTGCATATAACTGGCGGGATGCAGAACATAAAAAAGATTAAACATGTAAATACGGATAAGATGGGGTCACCTGGATACATGTTGTTCCGGAAGTATCTACCAAGTTCTTCTGCCTGCAGAAAAGATAAGGCAAACATCAAAGACAATCAGACAAGAATCTATCAACATAAAGCGCCTCCCCTCAGCAGTACATCATTAGATTATCACAATGCATTCAATACCATTTCAGGTACTGGATGGTAGTAGTACCTGCTTTTCTAGTTAACAAAAAAAAATACCTGCTTTCTACCAGCATGTGTAAGAACTCCCCCATATTTCAGAACCATAAGAGCCTCCACAGGTCGTTCCTCTTCCCCTTCACCATCACTTTTTGGTATACTAACCCACTTCAATGGCTTGAGTTGAACCTTCCTATATATACCAGAGAAATGTCCACCCTGAAATAAAAATCATCAAAAACGTAAGCTGGAGCTTACATGGAAAATCCAACTCGAAACATAAAATGTCATCCTGAATGACCAAAAATATGATGTGGCAGTAACTGAACTGCTGCCATAGAAATGAACCCCGAACTGGGCACTTTATAGATAGCACACGGAAAAAGAAAGGGAACAATAAGATTATAAAAATATCCCACCTCTTCAAGAACTGCTTTAACTTGTCGCAGCTTTTCAGCATGTTCAAGGTCTTCTGCATCACTATCACTTTCACGACCTGGTCTAGAAAGTAAAAAGAGAAATCATTATAGATAGTCACCTGACTTTAAGTCAGAAGCATGATATACTATACTGGTTCATGGAGGATATTATTATCCGCTGAAAGAAATAAATAACAGAAGAAAAGAAATGCCTCGTCTAGTAAAGGAATGTATGGCGAACAGAAATATAGCATACGACTTTTCAGAATTCAGTTACTAAACTCATGAGTCATAATAAATTGGAACATTAGAAAACTTATCATACAAAACAGAAATATCATGTTCAAGAATAACTTAAGGTCCTTCCATCCAAGGATGTTTTCTTTATCCTTACATGAAACCCCAAAGTGTCACGAATCTTGAGTCACTGAGAAATTGTGTATCTGAACGTGCAATTTGGACAAAGAAAAATGACTGGGAGAGAAAACGGGACCAGACAAACATCTGATGGCCAGGTACAGAAGTCATTGAATTATGGGTTCTACCTTGTACGAGGAACCAAAATTCTCGTGGCATCTAAAAGATCTTGCAATTGGACAGCACTTTTAAGTTTGGTCTGCAAAATGGGATAAACAAAACTGATACTGCATAAACAAATTGAACATAAGAAATGATTTGCTTAAGGCAAGATGCAATTGAAGATGAGAAAATCTTGAGCTCTACCTCGGCTCTTGGTTTCCCCCCATTGTACTTCAACATCAGGTTTAACAGCTTTTCTTCTGTAACTTTTAGCTTCACCTTCTGCTTTGGAGTTCTATCGCCACTGTTATTTTGAAACAAAATAAAGCACTTTTGAGAACCTGGGTGAAGGGAAAGGTGGAGAAAGAGGACAGGTGATTTCTAAAACATACTGTCGAATAACAGCGATGACACAACGTAGCTCCTCTGATTGCCCAAAGGTGCCAATAATGCCGCTCCCCTGGCGGGTTAGTCCTTCATTAGATTGGACAGGTTCGTTGACTTTCCATGGCAAGATGGGAGGAATTGTTGAAGAAAGATGAGGAGCTTTTGCATCCAAAAACATTTTCCACAGCACACAGGCAGCATCATCATAATACCTTATAGTCGAAAGATTCAATAAATACTTTAGAATCTTAGATGTAATGTCGGAGAAAATATAGATCGAGAGTGACAAAGGCAGGCAAGCAATGCATACATTTTGATTGATCTAAGCCTTTCAATTACAACAAAGAGAACAAAAATAACCTTTAAAAGCTATCCTAGTCTAGTGTGATCTAAGTGGGTCCAGGCAGAGGTCGGCCAATGGCTGAGTGCTCAAATCATTAGCTTTTCTCTCCTCAGTAGCATAGCCAAAATGTACATTCAAGTTCACAAAAAAGGGCTGCATTAGATCTCTAGGATTCTAAGTCATTCATGAACATGTGTTATTAACCATACGACAAGAACAGACTGAGCATATATATATTCTACGATTTCAACCGGTTACCTTGATGTTTGTCTTGCCAATATCTAATAAGAGCACATGAATAATAAGAAAAGAAAATAGAAGCCCAAAATGTCATCTCACTTGTAAGAGTTCTTCACAAAACTCCACCCATTCACATCGCAAACATAGGAACGACCCTCTGAACGCAGGAGATCAAACCCACAGACCTGCAAAAATGAAAACAATGAAGAAATAAGCATTTGTTTTATGCATTAAATCAAACAGTTCTATACTCTCTTCTGCTTTCTCTTGCTATCAGTGATTTTAATGTTTAGTAAGAATCACAATCTACCTACAGCACTTGAGAGCACACAGCCAGCTTGTCATCCAAGTTGAAGCAAAATGTAATGCCAAGAACACACATGCAAGTTTAATTGTAGCAATAGAACACATAGTCAGAGTAACTACAAGCATACTAAGTAATCAGTCCCTTCAAAGAGCGTGCATAGTAGCAGTTAACACAGTTTCGACTACCAAAGAGAATACTCAAACAGACTGCCAGCATCATTTCCATATTCTACCAGATCCATTTGACAACAATCTTCATAAGGCCGCTTGGTGTACCATATTTCATGAGTACTTCACTAAGGTCAGTTCATTAACAGTCAGCAACGAATTAGTACAACGAATGAGGCAATATGTCCTTGTGAGTACCACATATACGCAATAATGAGGGGAATAGGACCGTAGAACACACAATGGCAGAAAGAGAACAGGATTCAAAGCATACCCCTTGCCTAAATGCAATGCAAACTTCCCTTGCCATCTGCTTCTCCGCAGGTGTCAGCAAAACTGGATATCTAACCTGTTGAATGCAATAACAAAAACTAATCAGAACATAATACATTACATATTCATCAAATAAGGGGCCTCAATTTTGCTTCACTAGATTCTTTCTTCATAAATGAAGAGCTTCCAGACCATGGCCCTCTATTCAAATAAATGTTCCTTCTTAGCTACAGATATCTGGAAACTAGGTTTAAGATGCATAATCTTATCAATTGGCAAACTTACCTCCTTTCCATCAGGATTCCTCATAACAACACCATCCACAACAGGTGACTTTCTTGCTTCAGCGTGTGCATATTCAGGACCAACAGTATAAACCTGTATTTACCAGGTTGCTTTTCAGTCTAGAAGCGATGAAAGCAAAGATAAATGACCCAAAATAATATCCAGACTAAACAACCAACGATAGATGCTAAGTCTGCTGCTAGTACGACATGCAACATGAATATTATAAGAAAAAGTAAGCCAACACGAAAACATAGAACATTAACACATAATGTACCTTTGCTGAAACTCAAAACACGTGATACCAATGAGAGCCTAACTACAAGCACATCAATTCTCATAAAAAGTAAAGTGGCTGGAAAGGATAAAAAATTGAAAATGAGCTTCTCCATAACATGTAGATTGTAAAATGGTCATCACCTTAACATCAGTCCCTCCAGTGGGCATAAATTCCTCATATATATAAGACCCCTCTCTTCTTACTCTTCTGACCTCAGGATGAAACTCACTAGATCGATTTCCAACCTTAAACAAAAAAACCGTTTCAAGACATGCAAATAACTAAATCAGAGAAATGAACCACAAATAATTGTGATACTGTTAGAATAAACAGTTAAATTCAAGGGCACTCAAGTTCCTCGTAAATAAAGCTATAAAAGGATGCAGGTACCTTACGAAACAATTCTTTCATGCCTCCACCTGCCGAGCTAGGGTAGTATATCATTATACTATGGTCATCTCCTTCACAATCATAAAGAATGTCAATTCCAATTCCAACAGCATACAAGAAATGCAAAGTTTGCAAATTGGAAAAAAATACAATCGAAGAGGATGGCCACCAACAAATAATGGGAAAAGCAAAAATGAAAATCTCCGTTAAAGGACTTTACAAGAAAACAGCTCATAAAAGACTTACATTTTGCAAGAAAATGTATGCTAGTACTGTCAAATTGTGTTTAAGTCGAATCATAGTCTACATTTCCCAGGATCAGTTTCAAGTTTGAGTTTTACGTTTACGGATAATCAAGATTCAAGAAGCTACCATACAAAACAGTAAAGACGATTAGAGCAAGAGGCTGAAAGAAAAGCTCACCATCAACAGGCTTTTCCACAAATGGCTTCCAGAAACGTTCTCCATTAACCTCAACAAAATCTTCTTCCTCAGCAAAATAATCAAGCTCTTGGTATGGGACTTCCCTATTGACACAAGCATATCTAGGAACTGGGATACCGTACATCTCAAGATGCTGCAGACGTACACAAATAGAACTTTCTATTCTCAATAAAGGAGAAACTATGTAGCTCTTACTTGTCATAAATGATAAACAAAATAGAATTGTAGGAGACACAAAAATCAAAATGTGATTCTATAGCTAACTGAGTTGCACAGGACCAACTGGCCCTCCGACATCAAAATAAGGGAAAAATTCCCTATAGGCATGATCACCTTGTGCAAAATCACCCAATCAAGACAACAGAAGACAACTCATGCAAATTCTACCACTTATCATGAAGAGCTATATTTCGATGCTTTGTGGTCTGGTAAGTCAGGACATTATGAGAAAATACAATAAAGGAAGGTTGTCAGCATAATATAATGGATTCAAACGTCTTCAGTCGTCATAGGATGGACCACAAGATCCCACTTCTTTATTTCCAAATGGTTTTCACCTGATAGAACTAGAGTATAGTGAACATCTGCCACCATGAATCTACTGATCATACCTCATATACTTTCCGGCGATCATGAAGGAGATGTTGCGGCTCCAATTCATTCACCAAAAAAGGCCTGAGTCATAAAAGTTTGAAAAGTCTACATCAAAATCTACACTCATAATATAATTTGCATCAGTAAAGTAGATAGTGCGTTTTATCTCTGAACAACAAGAAATAAAAAGTAAAAACTTACTTTCTTAAAGCTGCATATGCTTCGGCCTTTTCTAGAGGATATCCAGAGGAATAGAAAGCAATCAAGCAATCGCAGACCGGCCAGCTGAAACAGAGCAAAGTCCTGGTCAAGTTCCGGTTCCAGTACCTTTCTTATTTATTAATCCTTAACTACACTTTATCCTATTAAACAGGTAAAGCAAAGGTGACAGATCCAAGCAACACATGGATTAAAGATAATAACGCACAACATAGACAACACTAGAAGAATTATTCATCAGGTAGCACAGATACATACCTTTCTATTGGATCTTGGAGTATAACCTTATCCCCAAAATGTATGACCTACGAATAAAGTTGTAACATGGGGTGACAATGAGATATCACTATTTAAGAAGAAGAGGAATTGAACAAAGAAATGTGCCACTCAATGAACCCACAGAGGCAAACGACTCCTAAGAACTTCAAACGAGAAAAGGTAACAAAATGAAGCTTCCACTATACTTTTTCTCAGCACTTCTAAATTAATTCAGCAGAACCCAAAGAAGAAAAAAGGGAGAGAGAGAAAAACATTCTAACTCCACAAGAATAGCAAATTATTTTAATACACGCCCGAATTTATCAAATCAAAGCCATGGAAACATCATTATCTTCAATCCAAACGGAAATCGAAAAGTGCGCTACCTCAAATTCACCAAACGCCTGCAGTCTGTCCAGAATTTGTCCCATAGGAGCCGAGAACACCTACAAGCAAGTCAAACGATCAAATCCATTAGTGCGACCACATCGCGAAACCTACCAGTAATTGAACTGCACTATCAGATTAGGGATTCAAACAAATCGTCTTAATTTCATGTCAGTCCAAAACGCGAAATACGAGCACAAAAGGAAGCAGAACCTCGGGGCCGCATTTCACCTTCTTTTCCATGACGCAGACTCCAATCCTTATCTTCCTACCAACATCTCCTCCTTCTTCCCCCTCCATTCTCTCTATTTCTATCTGAACCTGATTCTGATTCCGTTTCTGTTTCCCGCTCGGTACAACAACGTTCTCTATGTAGAATCGCATATTCAAAATCCAAAAAAGTTCCATTCAAACATTGAAAAAATGAAGCAGAAAGAGGGATAAATCTCATCATTTCAACCAATCGCTGCAACATCGTCGAAGGAGCAGGGATGAAACACGTCCGTGTTGCGAGAACGAAGGAGACGACGAAGAAAGAGAGACGTACCGGTGAAGCAATGATCACGACTCACGAGTGCGGCGATGGCGATAATGCTCTAGAGAAATAGGAGATTTATAAATGAAAATATATATATATATATATATATGTGAAGAAGAAATCAATTATGTGAGCGGTGCGCGAGGCACCAGGAAAGAGAGGAGACACACCGACCGGCGCCAGACTCACAGGCGTTGCTTTGATATTTTTGAAAATTAAAATTTAAAATTAAAATACCTTTGCATTAGATATTGTTATTAAATAAATAATATTTATAACATGGTCTCATTTTATATTGATGATAACTATCTTTGTCAGCCGTCAGCAGCATCTGGACCACGTCTGAAAACTAAAATTTTCTGGTAAATTTTCAGATCTTCCCGTGTACATTTTTTTTAATAATATAAACGGAAATTTGGATATTATTATAAACAAAACTGAATTTTAAGTCTTCTTATTGAATAAATCAGATACAATTGTCCCGAATCATAAGGAATCCATGATTAAAAACCGAAAGGAAAACAAAAAATCACGTGGTCCAACCATCGATGAAATTGATATAATAATCTACGTCATTGTCATCATGAAGCCGAAAATAATAGATTAAAAAAATGGGAAATATTTGGTGTAAAGATAAGATCTGGGATATGCCAGTATATGCAATGGGAGGAAAATGTACTTTAGCTTTTCTTTTCTGTTCCCAGCTTTTCAATTTTTTTTCGAAAAGGTCTGTACAAACTTCGTTTGGCACTTAGCTAAAAATCCAACAAAGACTACTATTTGTGTTATGTCAAATATTTTAAAATAGCACATTGATAGACTATGAATATCATTTAGAAAAATATCGAGTAGTATATGCCTTTGTTTTTTTTTTCACGTAATAATATATATTTTTATGAAGATGTGAGAATATCAATATATATATATATACACACACTCATGACACGCGTTTACATCTATAAATATGTATATATGTTCTATTTTTGAACGTACCGTTGAAAGCTCTCTCTCCCATTCAAAGGGTTTACGGATGGTGACCATTTCGGTTATTAATCAAATAATCGAACCGAATAAGAGTAGTTCGGTTCGGTTAAAAACCGAATAACCGTAGTTAATCGAATGGTTATTAGATTTTTTAAATGTTTTAATATTTACTTTTATTATTATTAGTGTTATTTTTTTATAGTTCACTTTTATCTTTATGTCTTCCACCAAATAAACTATAAAATTTAATGTTTTTAACTTTTATCCTAATTATTAAAGTTTTTGTAATTTTTTTTATAATTTTTTTAGGATTAATCATTTTGTGGATTTATTTGGATATATATTTTAAAGTTTGTATAAGATTAATATATTTTTTTTTAAATATATCATAACTGAACCGAATAAACCGAAAAATTTAACCATTATAATTTTATTACACAAATCGATACGAATCGAACCGAAACCGAAACCGAATCCAAAATAACCGAATCAAAACCCGAAATGGCCATCTCTAGTCTGCGAGAGCAGATCCTCATACGAGATCTTCGAATATATAATTATGAAACGAGTTTATTCGAAATAACAACATATTGATACTTGAAGCACCGTGTTTCACAAGAAACCCAACATGTATTACGAATTAATTCATCTAATATTAACTACCCCCGCTTTACGAGGAATCAAAGCGACGAAACCCTAAAACCCGCAGTCACTGTCCGCGACACCTTGCGTCCCAAGAAACGTGGTTTTTAGGAAGCAACAACGTTGGAAATTCTCCCCAGCAACATTCAAGCCCTAACCGATTTGAAATATGACGGCACCAAAGTTGGGATACTATATGAAGGTGGCTAGAATCTAACAACGCATTGACCTTATGTATCTTATCAGAGTATGTGTATATATATATGCATGCATAAATAATAGTGTATACATACAGAGAAAAACCCACCAGGAGAGTTGACAAGCACTTCGTCCGTCAAATGAGAGGTTGCAGATTCAAAAACTCCTTTTCCACTTGATACCAGCGCATTCAAAAGATAACAGTTGGATTTTACACGTTTTTTTTATAAAAATAGTATATATATATATAATTTAACCGCAGGG